TTTGTTCTGCCTGCAACTGTTGTTGAAGTTGTTTAAGTTGTAAATAAGCTATTTTGTTCAAGACTTTTATATACAGCAAAACACTGCCTAAGTGTAAAGAAATATATATTCAAGCATATATTTTGACCAATTGGAGTAACCAAAAACTAATGATTTGTACATTTATCTTCTTTCCTATTAATGCTCTGACTCAGAAATGCAGGTCCTGCCTCAACCAGGATTTGATCAAAGACCAAAATCAAACAAAATTGTTTCTTGAGAGACATCTTAAAGAGCCACCAGAAGGTTAGGAATGAACTTGGGGGCAAAGGTCTGTTCCAGGCCTTGACAGCAGAAAGTGGTAGATATAGAGGAGGCGATAAGTGATATGCCTAATAAATGGGAATAAGTAAATAATTAAAGGTGGGAGGCACATTCAGAGAAGCCAGTTACCGTTATCATCTGCAAAGCTAATCAGCTAATGAGAGAGTTCAGCGAGGAGGCCAGTTACACATTTACAAATGCGTAGTTTTCCTGCAGAGGACCAGGCAGAAAGTAAGACCTGCTATTGAGTTGCCATTTGGGAAAAGCCAATGAAGCTGCGTCTCTGTCTTACTTCAAATCCCCTCCCCTCCCCTTGAAATCAATTCCAGCTGGATTAAATGTTTGTGTCTTAAAAACAGCACAGTCACGCGCACCACATAACGATGTTTTGTCAGTACCCGACCCCACACACACAGGTCCGAGTAAAATACGATGGAGCCGAAACATTCCTGTTGCCTAGTGACGCGTCGTAGACGCACTCTTCACGGTCTGTGATGCTGCGGTTGCAGACGCAGCCGCTGCGCCGCCGGCCCAGGCGGCCCGGAGCACACAGATGCGCGTGTGGTACCCAGTGTCTGACAGTGATGATAAAAGACTCTGTTACTGGTTTATATACTATACTCACTATTACAGAGTGTACTTAGAAGAGATTTTATTTATTTATTTTTGGAGAGAGGGGAAGGGCAGGAACGAGGGAGAGAAACATTGATTGGTTGCCTCAATACTTCCAGCTGGGGATCTGGCCCACAATGCAAGCATGTGTCCTGACTGGGAATTGAACCAGTGACCCTGCTGGTTCACAGGCCAGCGCTCAATCCACTGAGTCACACAAGCCAGGGCTTAGGGTGTATTCTCTCTACTTACTAAAAAAAAAAGTTTTCTCCCCGGGTGGTGTGGCACAGTGGATTGAGCACTGGTCTGTGGACCAAAAGGTCTCTGGTTTGATTCCTAGTCAGGGCACTTGCCTGGGTTGTGGACCAGGTCCCCAGTTGGGGGCACTTGAGAGGCAACCAATTACTGGATCTCTTGCACACTGATGTTTCTCTCCCTCTCTTCCTTCCCTTCTCTCTAAAAATAAATACATAAAATCTAAAAAATAAAAACATAAAACGTTTTCTGTAAGGCAGTGTGCTGTGTTACGTCGGCCACAGCCTCATGCATCTTGTGTTTACTGCATCTCTTGATTGGATTGTTTTCTCTTGAGTGGGATTTAATTTTGTGAGACTTTGTACAGTCACACACCGTATAGGCTTGTAGCCTGGGAGTGATAGGCTGTAACTCGTACCCTAGGTGTGTAGGTTATACCGTCTCGGTACGTGTAAGTGCACACTGAGACATTTGCACAACAACAAAATCACCTGAGGATATGTTTTCCAGACCATCTCTGTCGTTAAGTAGCACGTGACCGTAATAAAAATACCAGAAGAGCAGGAACAGATTTTGCAAAGGACCCAAGGGCAGAAATGAGCCCGGGCCAGTCCGGCTGGAGTAGGGGGCCTGATGGGAAAATAAGGGCGGACAGAGCAGGTAAGGAGCCTGGATTTTACTCACGTGCAACAGCCCCCATGCACTGAGGGCCAGAGTCCCCAGGCCCCACAGAGCTGAGCTCTCTGGCTCTGCTCTAGGCCCCGGAACAGCTGTGCAATTTGAGGGAAGGGGTTTGGCTCTTTGAGTCTCTGCTTCCTCATCTGGAAAACAGTCACAACAGAGCTACGGCCCAGCACGACCCAACTCCTTCATGGCTCCCTGGCCCTGACCCACTCCTGGCTGCCCACACGGAATGCCATGTGCTCCTGGACTTAGGGGGGGTGGGGGGGCAGGGCAGTGGGGCCCAGCCATCAATGACTATGTGTTGGGGGACATCCTGGGGGCCGGCACTGCATGTGTAGAGGCCTGGCTGATTTTGGACAACTTTCCGAGTGGCTCCCCATAACTAATCCTCAGAGTATGTTTGAATGTATTCTTTAAGTGAACATCTCTATTTGCTATTTTTTTCCCTGTGGTGACCTTACAGGTTTTGCTTATTCAACTGACCTGTGTGGGTTATTTGCCACATGCTGGATAATAATCTCTGCTGTCAAGGAAGTGCGAGAGGCAGTCCCAAAGCAAACTAACAGAAATGTCAAGCAACTCAGTCACTGATAAGGGCTGTGGAAGAAAGGAGCTGAGGGGAGCCGCCATCATGGAGGTTGGCCACCATTATAAATGGGCTTGTTGGAGGCAGCACGAAGGAAGGGTGGGAGGAGCTATGTGAGGGGGAGGAGTTGTCCGGGTGAGGGAACAGCGTGTGCCAAGGCCCTGGGGCACAGCCTCACCTGCCATGTTCCAGAAACAGACCTTGGTGTTGGAAGAACAGCTCGGAGGCCACTGTGGCTGCAGCAGTGTAAGCAGAGGTGGGCAGGTCCCACAGGGCCTTGTAGCAAGAATGGGGTGTTTCCTCTGAGCCAAAATTCTCACTGCGAGACAGGACCAGCTCTAATTTAGTTTTTAGCAGAATCATGCTGACTGTTGCGAGGAGAACCATGTGGGGCCAGGGTGGAAGCAGGAGTGAAACCTGTCAGAAAGCTGGCGTAGAGTACAATACAGCAACAACAATAACAGAATGTATTACAGTATAACAATGACGTTAGTAGCAACAACAACGATAGCCGCCTTTAATTAATGCTGCGCGCATTTTACACACAGTATCCATCAAACCCTCTCAACAGTCCTGAGGTAGGTGTTATGATTATCTCCACTTTATAGATGAGAAAACTGAGGCTCGGAGAGGGGAAGCAATCTACCTGAGGTCCCACAGCTGGTCATTTGGGAGCTGAGATTTAATCCCAGAATGTCTGAATGTGGACTCAGCCCTCTGAAGCAGCCTGGAGGTGAGGGCGTTATGGAGAAGCTGCAAAGGCCAAGCTGAGCAGGACCCCTTTTCACTGACCCCAGCACTTGGGCTGGGGAGGGGAGGCGTGGGGTACAGCCCCCAGAGAACACAAGGGGGCTCTAAGATACCCCTTCCTCTTGGGGCCCCTCCTGCCACTGTGGGAGACCAGAAGCCTATGGCTTTGCATGAGGCACTGAAGGCCCTCATTCCCGTAACAGGTGGGAACATAGAATCCGGGAGGGCCCAGGACAAAGGTGTCTCTTTGCCTTGTATCTTTGCATCAAAGGCTGGGATCCCAGGCTCATGAGAATGAGGGAATGGGGGAGGAGTTCCTGCCCAGGGCAGTGCATGGCTGGGCCACATCCTCTGCCACCTGGCAGGAAGGGTCCTGTCTGACCTTGACCATCAGGGCCCAAACAACCTCCACCCTTGGCATTCTCTCCTGCTGTCTGCTTTATTCCTTCACAGTATGCTGGTGCATCAGCTCTGTGGCCGGAGTATATTTGTGTCTATTGGTGGAGTGATGGTCTCTCCCACATGGAATATCATCTCTATGAGAGCAGGGCCCTGTCCTCTTTCTCAGTGGCCAGGTGGTCATCTGGTTTGCCAACGCCTGGGCCACCAGTCGACCCTGCCTGAGCCATGCCAGCTCGGCTGGCCAGGGTGGCCCTGGGCAGTGCAAGGGTCTGATGAGGTCTGGACAAAGGTCTGAGTCAGTGTTGTCCCAGGTTTGTTGTCTGGGCAGGAAAAGGATGACTTAGAGTCTCAACAGGACAGGGAGACCCAGAGGATTAAAACCAAAAACCTAGAGGGAGAAAGAGAGAAAGACAAACATGGAGACCAAGGCATGAAGGGGCAGGAAGAACCAAAAGCTGGGAGAGAAACAGACAGAAAGGACAGAGGGACATGGGCTGGGCAAAAAGAGGAGGCAAGCTGAGGGGGAGATGGAGGCCGAGGAGCAGCTGGGTGAGTTGGGTGCCTGGCCAGGTCCGGCCACTCAGCTGCTCACAGCACTCATCCACAAGTATCAAGAGGCTTCTCCTCCCTGTCTCCGAGTTCCCCCAGGACCTCATCCAATTCAATGTGCCCATTTCACAGATGTGGGGAAACGGAGGCCCAGAGATGAGGCGGTACTTGCCTACACCCTCTCCAGCCCCCAACCTTGTTTCCAGTCATCTAGCCCTGTGCTCACTGCTGTGTGTCCTCAGGCCAGCTGTTCACCCTCTCTGGGCTGAAGTTTCACCAAAGGTTGTGAGGATGCCCAGGCTTGTTGGCCTTGGGTGTCAGGGAGGAAGCAAGGAGATAACAGGAGCCCAGACTGGCTGGGACTGTGAGTTTCTGTCCTCCTTCTCCTCCCTCCTAGGGCCTGGAAGAGCTTCCGTCCTCCCACAGGCTGTCCTTGGCTGGCTTCCCCTCCCTTCAGTGCCATCCCAACCCCCCACCCCAGCTCCCAGCCCCTGTGCCTGGCTGGTGAGGCTCCAGCCCCCTCCTGGCAGAAGCAGGCGTCTACAGTTCCTAACCGCGTGGAGATGCAGCCGGCAGCAGTCACTGGGGGTCCGGTGTTATGGCCTGGGGAGGAGAGGTCTGGAATCCACCCAGAAGGTTCAAGGTAGCTCACCTCCCAGAGAAGAAGGCCCTTCTCCCTTCCTATCCTCCTGACCTAGCAGCCTGAAACTAGGGAAAAGGCCACGAGCCACCATCTGTCCTCAAACCAGTACCTCTCCTCCGCCCTGTGCCAGGTGCTCCCCTCCCTGCCAGCAGCTGGCTCCTGGTACCTCAGGACTGTACCCTCACAGGCCTGAGCCACCCAGCTCTGCCCGCTTACCTGCTGGCGTAGTTCTCCAGCGGCTCTGTATGGGAGGGGCGGGAGGCCACTGGGTTTGTATTAACCTGTCCCCGCCCCGCAGTGAGGGAGAGTGGGAGGGGCTCCCAACACCACCCAGAGCCTACTCACTGTGTGCCTGGAAACTGCCAGGCAGCCAGTTGTCTCCCGTACAATCGGGAGTCACGGTTGTCAAAGGAGGGTAACAGTAAAGGGCTGACCTTATCCAGTGCTCGGGGCCATTGAGCTTTCCTGAGGGTTGACCTTCAGAAGGTAAATAACCTGCCCAGGTGGATGGCTCTGGCCCCACCCTGTGGCTGTTGGGTTTCCTTTCCTCCGGGAACCTGCTCTGGGCACAGAAATGCTTGGTTCAAAGACGGGCGCTTCGTCAAGTCCCTTGCAACATGGCAGGAATAACAGCACCTCCTCCTTAGGCAGAAATCATGGCAGCCAGTGTGTGGTAGGCTGAGTGTGTCAGGCACAGCGTGACAGGCATTTAGTCTTCATCACAGCCTTTTGGGGAGATACTGTAACTCTCCCCATCTTATAGATGAGGAAGCAGAGGCCCAGAGGAGTCGAGAGCCCTGGCAGGGCTGGTCTCTGGCATCTGCCGACAAAGACTACCCTGACCCAGAGTCCCCATCTGATGGAATCTCTCATTAGGCCTGGGCAGCAGGTTGGTGCCACTTTTCAGGCGGGGAAGCGAGGCTCCATGTGGCTGAGGGACCTGCTCAAGGTGCTAGAGCCAGTATTTCGTGGTCAGGATTTGAACTCCGACTCAAAGGGGCGCCCCAGTGGAGTAAAATGAACCGCACAGGGCCTGGCACTTAGGAAATGCTCCCTGGGTGCTGACCTCTACCAATAATTCTGGCTCACTTTTTGCGTCATTTTCCAAGTCATGCATATACTTACCAAGCAACCCCTCTCCAGGCGTATGGTTGGGATGAGGAGTGAGCAGACCCTGGACCCTGGGCAGGGGCCCAGGAAGTGCGGGTAGCAAACACTTGGATCAGGAGAATCTGCTCTTGGGGAGCTTGAAATATGTGGCCCTAGCGGACTCTCTGGCAGCGAGGGCCCCCAGGCCCCGCCTCCCGGGGATGCTCCCCTCCCGACTCCAGCAGGAAGTGCTCCCTCAGGAGGTGGCCTCGCTCTGGCCATCTCACAGTTGCCTCTTATGTTATTTTTAATTAAAAAATGTATCTTTGTTATCCACTTTCAAAGACTCCTCTGTTGCTTACCGCATCAAGAAAAATGCCTCAGCCTCACGTTTACCCCCCCCCCCTTTTTTTCTCAGCTGGGACCAATACTCCACAATATTATCACTTTGTCTTTCTCAAGAGGAGCCTTTGCAGCCTGAGACCAGAACTGCTGACCATTCTATAAGTATTTATAGTACATCTGCATCCGCCACAATCTCCACACTGACCTGTGCATTAGAATATCCTTTCTGCCCCATCTCTTCCTGGCACAATCCCACTCATATTTCAAAGCCAATCTCAAATGTCACTTTCTCCAAAGGACCCTTTATCGAACATGACCAGTGTGTGTCAGGAGTTTAATACATGTTGGTTGCATACACGAATGAATGAGACCCAACCAAAGTGTTCTCCTTTTCTTTGTCCTCTCCAGAAAGTTTTGTAGCTTTTGTTGTTGTTTACTTAATAGACTTTTTAAAACGGCAGTTTTAGGTTTACAGGAAAGCATCCCACCTGCATTCTTTACACAGCGGGGTGCACCGTCCACGTTGACCTGAAACTGGCCTTTTTAGTTAATATTGGTTAGAGATCTTTTTGTGTCCCGTGCCATGAATGAGACCTCTATCACGTGTCAGCTGCGTGTCAGGCACTGTGATATAAAATCGAACAAAATTCACAAAGCCTTTCTTTGGAGAGCTGACATTCTCGTGGGGAGAGATGGGCGACAAACATTATATAAATAAGGACATTGTGTGTTACGATAGAAGATATGCTCTGCAGAAAGAAGGAGGAGGAGGACGAGGGGGGCCCGGAGTGGCTGAGGACTGAGTAGGAGCAGGCTGCAGAGTGGGGGGAGCCAGCGGAGACTCTCCGCGGGGGACAGAGTCCCAGGCTCGGGAAGGGCTGGATCTAGACGTGTTCCATCATCCGAATGCACCCGGATGAGTGTGGCCGGCCCGATTGCTGGGCGCATATAACTTGCCATCGAGAATGGCAACAAACACCCAGGCAGTTTGCCTTTTTGTCCCCGTGGACTCAGGTCCTAGCGACAAACTGCAGCACGCTTGGCAGGGACCACCCCCTTGTCCTCCAAGGACTCTGCCTGGGACCATGAGTTTCCCACAAAGTGCTTCCCCGAGCTCTCTTAAACAGGCATTCTTGAGATTCTTCTGGTTGGTCAGGAGGGCACTCACATTCCACCAGGAGAGATGCCAGGGCAGAGATGAGCTCATCTGCGGCCCGCGCCTCCCCGCCGCCTCCCCGCCGCCCTTGGCAGGTACAGGCAGGTGTCAGTGTGGGTTAGTACTCCTGAATGAGTTGATGGGCAAAAGGCTTAGAGGGCTGCAGTTACGCATAGACACCATCAGGCGGCGCAGGGAGCCCCAAACTCAGGACAGGAATGTTTTCAAGGGCATCTGGTGGTTTATGACCTTCTCACAAGGGAGTTGGTTGTGTGGGGCCTAAGTGCGGGGGTGAAAAAAAGTGGCAGGTGGGAGGAAGGACAGCTGGGGAAAAGGAGATGGGAGAGAAGAGAGTTAGAGGGAGGGGCTCCACCAGGTGCCTCCAGGCCAAATAGGGACCAGTTTGCTTCCCGTAGTTGTTCGCAGCCTGATACGGCTCCCCACCGAACTGAATACCATCTCACATCCGTGAACTGAACTTGAGAGTCCAGAACACAGTGGAGAAAAACGTCGCAGGATAAATACGTACGGTATGATTCCACTTTGTAGGAAAACAATCCTAAGAAAATGCTACATATTCTTCAAGGGTGTGTGTTACATACACATAAAAAATCTGCAAGAATGAACTTCAAGTCGACAACAGTGCTTCCCATAGTTCAGGGGGTCCAGGAACGGGGTGGAGAATGGGGAGCAATCCAAGAGGCCTTTAGCCTTAACTGAAATATTTCTATTTCCTGGGAGTCTATAACGCTGCTGGATGTGTAACGTAAAATTAAAAATTGCTTTCAAGAGAGAAACAAGAAGAGAAAGAAATAAAAGAAACATCCAATGCCATCTTGTGTTGCATCAATAGAGGTCTTACACGCAGCTCGAGGGAGGTGACAACCCCTCTGCTCTGCTCAGAACACGCCTGGGACCTCCTTTCCTCTGCCCGGTTGGGTTCTGTGTAAAGAACAATGACAGCTCAAGGCACCCCAAGAACTGAAGGTGGGAGGGGTCACGGCGCCCTCTGAATGGAGCACTGGTGGAGAGCACGCCCTTTACCCCAGCCGGAGGAACTGGGCTGGGAGGGAGCAGATTTCAGGTGTGTGTGTGTGTGTGTGTGTGTGTGTGTGTGTGTGTGTGTGTGTAATGGATTCTTGCATGTAGACCTCTGCTTGGGGGCTCTGGGGCAGGATTCCAGGAGTGAAGGATGGTGGAGATGCCAACCCACAGGCGTTAAAGTTTTCCCATCTAGCTAAGAAAGGATGATATGGGCTAACTTGGGTGTTTGGGGAGTTCCTAGCCCTGGCATGTATGCAGGCCCAGGCCGTACGACGCTTCTGCTTCCTAGGAATGTAGGAAGGCAGGGAGCGGATTCCCAGCATCCCATTCAGAGGGTCTGGGGGATTCCCTTAAAGGTCCATTCAGTTCTGGAAAACAATAGCTGGGAGGACAGAAGGGGCGGCCGCTGAGATGGAGATCAGACCTCAATGCCTCTGTATCTTCATCTGTCAAGTGGGAGCGGCGGATGGTGGTGCTGGCGGTGAAATGTGGTCTCCGATTCTGCCCAGCTGGGAATCTTCCAGGGTCCACTATCCGTTCCTTATCGCTGTCAAGTGGGGGTTGCAGTTTACTCATTAGCCACCAGAGGTCGCCTTATGACAAGGTTGAAAAAGGGGGAAAAAAACACCCTGGAAAAAAACAACCGCCCTCAAACCCAGTCTGGTCTGAAGGGAGAATCTGAGTCTGGGATTCTCTTTCTTCCTTAATTTGCTCTTTCTCTTTCATTAACTATTAATTGAGGTCAACTCTGTCCTGTGCACTGCGGATAGAGCAAGGAACCATGGTCCCCGCCCGACTCCTTTTTTCCCTCCCACACGGACATCTGATCCCTTAGCAGATCCAGGATTAGGCCTCTCTGTGCCCCTCCACCGCCAGCCACCACCTCCCTGCCTTTACGTCTTGTCTGGACTTCTGCAGTAATTTCTTCACTGGACATTCTACGACTGCCCTTTGTCCCCTGCACTCCATTTCCAGCAAAAGGAAAGCTGTTGTAACCTAAGTCTGAGCCTGTCCCACTTCTGCTTGGACCACTCCCAGGCCTGCTCAGTCCCTCCTCACGGGACCCCCTTAGCCGGACCAGCCTCCGGGCCTCCACCCCTCACTCTCCACTCCAGCCACACTGCCCCCCTTGCTGCTCTCTCAGAGGCCAACTCACTCCCTGCCTCAGGGCCTTTGCACTTGTCATTTCCTCTGTCTAAGGCTCTCTTTCTCCAGGTAGCCCCATGGCTCTGCCTGCTCTTTATTCCAGTCTTTGCTCTACCTGATCCCTTAGAGGTGACCCTCTCATTCAAATAGTCTCATTGCTGCCCCTCTCTGACTCTTCATGCCCCTCTGGTTTTCCTTCCCGTGCCCTTGATAGTGTGTCAGACATTCACTTAAGCATCTTGTTTGGTGTTTCCCATCAATGACAGCTCACCAAGGATGGGGCTGTGTCTGTTTCGCTCATGGCTGCAGCCCTGGCACCAGGTTTGTGCCTGGTGCACAGAATGAGCTCAAGAAACACTTGTCAACAGACTGAAGGGAAGGGGAGAGCTGGAGGAGGGGCAGCTGACTGGATTTGGGGCTGAGGGAGAAGGAGGAGCTACAGGGACTTGGCAGCTCCTGCTGGAGCAATCGGTGGAGGGGGCGGGCACCT